CATAAATATTTTCTGGAACATAAATACAATAACAGGTTAAAGACCGATCCGTTTCCATTCTGTTAAGACAGATAAAATGTTCTGAATGCGATTGTAGGATTTACTACTCCATTCAGTAGTCGTTGAGGAGTTTACTGTATAGATTTGCTTGACCATAACGTTGCTGAACCGCTTGAGTGTGAAATTCAGAACTTTTCATGAAAAGTGCCACTGGGGATAATCCAGTAATAGTGTAGTGTGTACTAATAGTGTGCAAGGTCTTGTTTCTGTAACTTTCACAAATCTTACCTAGGCGAGGAGACACTGAAGCTAATATGTATTATAGTATTTGCTGCTTTCATAACCTCCATATATATGTAGATCCGAATCTTGTTGATCAAAGTGAACTTGGAATTTAGTTTCCTATATATGATTTCAAAATTTTTTCTTATTTGTTGAGAATGTCATAGAGATAATTTTTAGAACTTTCCCATGATATAAGACTTCCGTTCACCTGAACATTTCACATCCACAACGCTTTGCAGTATGATGTAGACATCAGCATTATGACATACCTGTCCACCAGTGCAGTGTCTTTAACATTGAGATATGGTTCACAGGATAAGAATGCTTTCAATGAATAAAGATTCATTAGACAAGGTTTTAAATAGCATCGTCTTTTCGAAGAAATAACATTTTCGAGGTACCTTTGGAGTGGATCTCAGCACATTCAGGAAAACATTGAGAATACATAGGAGCTTGCAAGAAAGGAATCTTCTTGCCTATAAGTAAGACAAAGAGCACAGTAAAAAGCTAAATCAATCAAAGGACAGGACAATACACAAGAAATATTTTACATCATTGACTGAATGTAGGCGTTTAAAGGAATAGCAGACCTTTTGTGTCCTACCAGAAATCAATGTAGTGTAGTAGAAGCTCTTCCAATAAGACAAAAGTATATTTTTGCGGACTATAGTACGAGTAGCCAGCTTGTAAGCCTTTACACGCGCCAGGGGTTGGCGCCAGGTCGCTAGCTTACGAACAGATATCCTAAACCACATCCGCTGATGAGTATGCATAATCGCCATAGTCGGCAATGGTGCATCCTTATCAGCCACTATAAACATTTGCCGTATAGCTGGATTACCCTAAAAATGTTTTTAACCGCTCGGTAGGGGTGTTACTTATCTAGAAAAGTGACATTATGTCGATTTTTTGACATTATATAGATTTTTTGTGACTTTACGCAGGTTTTTCTTATGTCATTTGTTTTTCACTTGATGTGCACTCGTTTTGTAACTATACGTGTTGCCTAAACGTCATGACGCTTCAGCTATCAATATTTGGCTCTGATGTGATCTAATATTTGCTTCAGAGATGGCATTATTGGAGGTCTAAGCTGTAAGTTGTGTACTATATATGGAAGGAAACGGCAGTGCATTGTGAGGATTTGTGTTGATGATAATTCCATTGGTTTCTTGTCTCAAATACACTTACTTGAGCTGTATGCAAAGATAGAAATTAGTTGCGCATCCACCTTTTCTCATTCATCCTGGAAGTTACATATACAAAATTGCTGAATTTAAAAAATGAGAGAGATAAGAGAAGAAAATCCCTGGTTGGTGAACCAATAGGTGAGAATATATGCCACATACATGAATCGTGAAAAAGTTATCTACAGGAACATTCGTCCCGTCGTCGAGACATGCTTCAGAGATATCTCATCCCAGGATAGATGAACATGGTTCCAAAGACCTGCTAGAGTTTGTGAAAGTTGAGGTAAAGAGGTCATTCTTTCTCTCATCATCTCGTACACATAGATAATGGAGAAAAGGTTTATAAATCCAGGAGAGCAAGGAAGCAGATTGACGCTATTGTAGCTCTAGCATTATCTTGTTGGAAAAAAATGAGGTACCAGCGTTCCAACATTTCCTGGATATATCGTTGTACTGCATCTTAAGGAAATTCGAGGTTACTTATCCCCATTCGTAAGTTCGCCCTAAATATGTCATACAGTATGGCGCACGTGTGGTTCAACTGAAAATCTTTATTCCGCCTTTTCACTCACATTCTGACTCGTGCATTCCTAGACCAGGTTTTCAGTTCAACGTCACTGTATGGCTTGGGCAGTATCACTTATAGTGCTAAGCCATCTCTAGTTTCTATTAGAGTCGGTATGGCGGCTCATTGCAAATAGTCGAACCTCATATTTGGCTATTTCGCTATACGGTTGAGAACTCTACATCACAAGATAATGTCTGTCCTCATATAACATAGCTAAGCTACAATGAACTGCCTCAGTGATGCCCAGTACTACCTTGGCCCGGTAGATTTTCAGGCCTTTGGCCCAATGAATATTTGTGGGATACGATGGAAATAATAGTGACCTCTTTATTTCATCTCGCGCAAATGCTAGCGCAATTCTTCTCAAAAAGGTAAAAATCATCTCCCCAGAAGCATGGCCTCTGGACGAATGTATACGGCATCGGGGTGGCTCAAAACATTATTAGGGAAATCCAGTGATACATCAACTGGTTTAGTAGTTTTGAGACTGCCAGTTAACTGCTGTAAAAGATGAGGAACGAGGTATCAAAGTCTCAAAGGCAGCGGGCCGCTGGGGATTTCGATCTGTCGGCTCATTCAGGAAAAAAGTTCGGTCGAAAAATATTTATGCAGACCTATTTTATCCTATAATAAAAGCATTTTTGCTGTAACAGCAACGTTGTCGTACGACAGTAGGCAGAGTAAATAATGAGTAGGGTCGTTATTCATTCCGGCTCTATACGCTCAAACGCACAAACGCCAGGGCAGCTTTATAACCATTAAAATGCATTTTCTCGTCGTATAACGTATCCCCAGGTCGGTTAACAGCTAATGAAACAATATAGCCCTCTAGATAACGGTGCTTTGGGTCATTAAACTTCGCTCGGTGGTCCGGCATTTCCTCTCCTCTCGCAGACCATCGCGCCACTTTGTTTGTTTTCGTTTTGAAGCCTTTTTTCAATTTTACTGCCCTTGGTGGCGGCTTTTATGGAATATACGGGGTACTGTGATATTTTCAAATGTTGCAAAATAGCATGGAAATATGGTACATAACATAGATATAGGGTCTTTCAGCTACTTCGGTTATATTGCCTCCAGGAATGGACTGTGGCTTACATTTCACAATATCAATGCGGGTGTTTTCTAGGCGTTCTTCTCAACATTGCTTATGTTTACAATAATGATATATTTTGTAAGATGAATCGATTCGGAGTTTTGAGAGTAACAGCCTGGTAGCGCCTTAATTTGTAACAAAATATCTGGGTTGATGGAAGTGAGATAAAGTGGGGAACTGTATGCTCAAATAGCTGACAGAATTTGGGAACATTCCCCGGGGAGGAGTATATGCTCACATTCTCTTAGTGATTCTTCTCCCTCGTTTTCAAGAATGAGGTCATGGAGGTTATAACTGCTTGCAGACGCATTAATTTGGTGTATTTTTACGTTTCTGAGACTGTACTGTACCTCAACTAGCAAGGAGGGCTCATTCGGTTTTGACGGATGGCTGCGCTTTGCTAGATAGCCTTTCGTCTCTACTTGTCGTAGTTCAGATCACTGAGGACTTGAGACAGCTGACTCCTATGCTCCACCCCTGACCTCCTTGTGATACAGCTAAATTTAATTTGTGTGTTTTATTTTCTACTTATTCCCTTCTTACATCAATGATCTTGTTTAACTATTTTTATATATTTTTTCATTTGCTAAAGTACAATATATAGTAATATGATAATTTCAATCTAAAGCAATGCATTTCTACGCACAAACTTGATATCAGTATGATAGTAAACAGAAAACTTTGTGGTGTTGCTGTTTTCACTGCCATTTGTGCTAGCATGATATATTTTATTAGAGAAACATTGAGATAAACTAATATTAAAAACATTAATAACACTACACAATTCAGCACCGTAATAATGCATAAAAATTAAACAAGTAAATACAAAAATATTTTACAGAAGTCCAAATATAAAATTCTACATTTAAAAGCACTCCATAGAATTTTTGAGCCGCAACTATATCCAAAAGCGAATTAAATGAAATCGAAAATACAACTATTAAAGTAGGAAACAGATAAGACCATGAGTATAAATAATAAAATGATTTAAAATGGTACGATCGTAAAAAGTAGTTAAAAAATACCCGTCTTCCTTCCACAATGTCATGCAACTGACATCTAGGTAAAGCAAAGATCCATTTTGACAATCTAATTTTAAACATTGATTGAGAATTAATTACACTTAAGTTCCAGAGGTAAGCAATTGTACAATTTAGGGCAAAGAAATATCCACGAACGCTGCATCAAGCACTTAGATGAATAAGAATATCTATCTTATTGTGACAGCTTTTGTGTTTATAATAAAATATCATTATGTTGTGAATAAATATAGTTGTCTAATATCTAAAAGCTTTCAACTGGCTGTCTGAGGGACATAATCTTCACTTTTTGAAAGTGATCTTGCTGAAATGTTTTTCAAGAGTATCTAGTCTCTCTAAATACATTGTTGCTGCTCCTCCCGTTTCGATAATTGTACAAGAGCATGACGAATAGTTTTTATGACGTTTATGTCAAAATGCTTGCTAATTTTTTAACGTTTGTTAACAGTGATATGATTTTTTTACAACATACTCAATTTGCGTATTCAGATTTATGCCGAGATATTTAATGTCAGTCTCCTGCACGGGTATTACGTATCTTGAAAAGTGACATTATGTCGATTTTTTTGACATTGTTTTTCTGTGACATTATGTAGGTTTTTATACAAGATCTTTTCTACGACTGCTGCAAAACACTTCTCTATCTCAAATATCACCTGTTGTTTACTTGAATATTTATTTTGTGGTAAATGTTATTCAATTTTGGAAATATGATTTAATCGGGATTTGGACTGATGAATGTGGAAGCTATTGAGTAATCCACCAATTCAAATGACCCTTGGTAGAGATCAGTCACAGTCACTTGTTAACCTTCCCTATTGGGAGTCACGGTAGCTTAGTGGTTAGCGTGTCGAGCTAGCCATCCGGGGCTCGTGGGTTCGAATTCCCGCCTTGGCTATTTAATTCTTTAATTCTGTACCATGAATGTAGTATATCACGCACGTGGATGCAATATTAACGATAACATCTCATCATGGGAGCTGGTTAGTCAGTTACCAGTAGATGGCTCGTGGAGTAGTTCAGTGTTGGTATTACAGGGCCTGTAAAGAGGGTCAAAGGTGACATAGATGCCAGACTTCGCCTTCCCACCTACTACCACTACTAACCTATCCGTTTCTTTTGGAGGGCACATCAGAATTTTGAGATTAAGTTTGTATAATTGGTTCCTTCAAGGCTTCAAGTTCAACCTGTAACACTATACTTATTTTTTAATATCTCAATGCTGTGCGATCTGGGATTTCGGACAGATGGCTTTTACAGCAAAAACTGTTCGATCTGTAAATCACTAGTGTGTTCGGACAGATCACATAAATGACGTATATCTATCCCGATAACGCTGCCATAGGTCATTAAACCACCCTTTATGGTCCGACATTCCATACAATCGCCTCCCTGCGTTCTTATCGTCGACCGGTAGGTTTTTCGAATTTTCCGGATTTTTCACCGCACAGCTGGAGATGGACGGCTCAATAAAACCGCTTTTATATTATACCCTGAACCGCTTCATGTGAGGCTGTTGGGTAGATACAGGGTGTTCCAAAGAGGATTTGATATTTCCAAATTAAATAAAAAGGTGGCGCTGTAGAACATCAACCAAAGCATGTCAGATATAAAGTCAACCTACTTGGAACATATTTGTAAAAGACTGAATATAATTTCTTATGCGCATAACGTGAAGTAGTTTGTTGAACTAGTAGCTACTAAAATGGAAGTGGAGTAACTCCTCTAAGAAAAAAAACCACCAAAAAACAGCGTCAATACAATATTATGAGGATCATGAACTTCTTAATAATAAAACATTTTTTACTAATACCAAAGGTGCAATGTTTGCAAACCTCTACCCTCTAGAACTTCAGCTTCACTCTTTCACCCCTAAAAAAGATTTCTAAAAATGAGCAACGGTCATAGAAAGATAAAATCTAGCTTTGAGAGATTTTCATATCCAACAATGGTTTTTCGTTCTGGGCAAAATTTTATGTCAAAATTTCATTGAGCGGTATTTTCCAATTTTGGGGTAGGGGGATAATGAGTTAGCCGAGGCGATAACGGTGATACACCGCGTTACCCAGAACCCCTCTTCTTCACATCAGATTTATACTCTCCTTCACTTGAATATTCAGTCTTGTGAAGGGCAAGAGTACGTGAAAATCTGTGCGGGAAACTTAGGTGCGTAGAAAAAAGAATCGAAGAAATGTCACTTTTCAAGATGCATAATACCCGTGCCGGGCTTGAAAGATATAAATCTACTACCGCTATTGCGATGAACCCTCCTCACATTCTAAAACTTCTCAAAAATCTTACAATTACAAAAATGAGTAAGGATGTCTTAGACGTTAAGAGCGAGAGTTCAGCGCACTTTATTTGTATCGTTGTTTGCCCCTAGCTACGGCGCCACTGGATCTATTTTGAAAACCTGCAAATTTTGTTGTCCTTGGCATGGTATCGAAACCCGAGCGATACTTCTCAAGTTATGCAGAGGGGTCAAGAGTTAGCGGACAGTACGTCTTTCCTTAGGGATATCTCAAGAGTAAATTCTAAGTTAATACTATGGAGAAACGCGTTGATTAAAAAAACATACATCGCGATCTACGCAAAATGAACCTGATATGCCTCAGCGCGGATTATACCACGTAATTTTCAAAAAATACTGTTTTTTAACCCATGTTTTCTCGGGGACACCCTGTACTACTGACACTGTTCGGATTTGTGATAGGTAGGTGTTATCGACGCCTTGGGGGTCGAGTCGAGTTAAGGCAGGCGTCTTTATTGTTGAAGTAGAGGTATGGGGAAGAGTTTATAATGGGTGATTTTTTTGTCAGTATCTTTTTGGCCACACTGTTTTTGACAGATGACGAGTGAATCGTGAAATGTCGATTCGCCGCCGTTCGCAGCAATTGGGCCTCTGTTATTCCACTACGTGAAAAATTTTGCGACAGGATTTGGGTGTAAAACCTTATAAGATACAGCTGGTGAAAGAATTGAAGCCACACGACCTCCCACAACGTTTCCAATTTGGTGAATGGGCACTGGCAAAGTTGGAGGAAGATCCACATTTTTATCGAAAAATTGTGTTCAGCGACGAAGCTCATTTCTGGTTGAATGGGTACGTTAACAAGCAAAATTGCCGCATCTGGAGTGAATACCAGCCAGAAGCATTGCAAGAGCTACCAATGCATCCCGAAAAATCACTGTTTGGTGTGGATTATGAGCCGGTGGCATCATCGTGCCGTACTTCTTCAAAGACGACAATGGCCGGAACGTAACTGTGAATGGCGAGCGCTACCGTGTGATGATAACAAACTTTTTTTTTACCCAAAATGGAAGAGCTGGACTTGGCTGACATGTGGTTTCAACAAGACGGTGCCACATGCCACACCGCACACGAAACAATGGCCCTATTGAGAGGCGAGTTCGGTGAACAGTTTATCTCACGTTTGGGGCCCGTCAATTGGCCGCCTAGATCGTGTGATTTAACGCCGTTGGACTATTTCTTGTGGGGCCATGTTAAGGCTAATGTCTACAGGGATAAACCAGCAACGATTGACGCACTGGAAGCTAATATTGAAGCATTTATTCGTGAGATACCGGCCGATATGAGAGAGTGTGCCAAAATTGGACCTTGCGCATGGGCCATCTAAAGCGGAGCCGCGGCCAACATTTACATAAAATAATCTTTAAACATTAAATTATATCGACCGTTCTATCGACTCAAATAAAGATTTAACCGTTTTTTCAAATTTTTTGTGTTTTTTTTTTAAATCAAATCCTATACCTCTTAAAAAATCACCCGTTAGTTACTTTTAGGCTCATCATAAATCTGACTGCCAAATAAATTGGAAATCAAAGATCACCTGTTGTGAGTGCCGTCTGAAAAACAGCAGCATGGCACAATAAATTAAGAGTACTTATGCAGGAAGGAATATGGGATCTATCGTAGGACCGTGAGCCTGGCACCGCCAGGAATGCACTGCTGCTCTTCGGAGCTTAATCCAATCTGAAGAAGTGTCACTGCTTTGAGTTCCATCACACAGTGGGATACTTTGTAGTGATAGCGTAAATGATTTGACTAGGTCGAGACCCAGGACCCCAGCATCGGAAAGCTCGGGTATTGGTGAAATTTGTCAATACAGGCTCCAATGCGCTCATAATCGCACTGACGAACTCCCAATTATCGTATCGAGTTGACTTCTGTTTCAGATTATACAAAAATTAGTCTGCTTCTAATGTCACGTAAGGATTTTTGACCAGAAAGTCCATCTCCACAATCGGAAAGGTACAAATGATAAAAAATGACTAACAGAACATTAAAACCCTGTAACTCTCTGGTTGATCGTATTAAAAAGCATACTTCACAAGAATTGTAGCCAAATATATGCTGAATGATTTGACGGAGATAAGCGAAGAAAAAAAAACCAAAATTGCATTTGTTTGGCAACATAACCTCCAAAAGTCTAATTTGTGTGAAAAATATTGTTTTAGGCTCTGTAAGTGATCCGCTTCCAGACTAGAATAAAAACCCAACTACGGTATTTTTTGCACGTTACGTTAGCAGCAGGATGGAACAAAGGTGTAACCCGCTTTGATTTGAAAATTTGAGATGGAGTTTCATTATCCTTTAAATATTTCCAGTCGCAAAAAATATTTTTAAATTTTTAGCCCGTTTTATTATCAGCTAAATCAAAGTTTGTTTTTAAAGATGCATTTTTTTATTTAATTTATTTTCTATGTGTATGATGTCAGATAACTAGTTTAAAATTATAATTTTCATGTATTTTATTAATATTACTCCATGAAACTTCTTACTTTATTTATATTACAAAATTTCGATTGATACAAATCATATAATGATAAATCGATATTTTGGTGGCTATGGAATTTAGAATGACGTTATTTGCTTGTTGAGTTTCTCTCATTAAGACCATATCATAGCGGCGACAAAGGTAATTATACATCGACATTTAGCGACGGCCATTAATTGGATTAAGAATGACGTCACTTTGGTTATTGTGTTTCTCTCACCCTTTCCTTCCTTGCTACATTTGATACCCATACCATAAAGGGTACTAAGAACATGATAGATCGCTATTTTGTAGTATCCACTATATTGGATTCAAAATGGTGACTCATTTTGGTTAAGGTTAACAGATTCAAAACTCATTTCCAAGATTTGTTCGTGCCACATCAACAAAGATCTCATCTTAAATAAACGCTTGTTATTGCAAAGTTGATTCTAAATTATGGAGAGCCGCGCGACTGTAAGCGCATTCAGATATAATTAAGGTAATAAGATAATCGACACCCGAACCATATAAAGACAATGAAGGATTGTTACGTACCTGGGTGTTCCTGTCGCCTGGTCTGGAGGAGCTCCTCTCTCTTCACAGCTTCTTCTTAGGTTCACCACACTTGCCTTAACGAATATATTGTACCCGATCTTTACGAATTGACTTCACGAAAATCTTCTTCAAGGGTTTGAATGTGTATGGCTTTTGTGTTCAAAATAATAAAGTGTGTTTTAGAACTTGCATGAACAACGCTTGTGAAAACATTTAACCTGAGAGGTCTCATCGGCCAGAACAGATTAAAACAAAAATCTTGTACCTAAAGGAAAAAGATCGGATCTGCTTCATTTATTCATAGTCGTTGCGCAAAAGAATTTGCATCTTCAAAAGTATCCAAACCAAGTATAAAATTCAATGTTTCCGCTGACTTCAAAATCAGTTTGTGAAGTTTGACGCGTTGCCCTAGCCACGTCCTGGAGAAAAATTAATCTATCCTGAAACTTAAAACTTTCGAGAAACTTTAATCACCGCTCTGACCGTTATCTGGAGAGCTGTATTGTTTCATTAGCCGTTAACCTCGGTGTGGATTGAGCGTACCGAGCGGCGACGTTGAAATATATTTCAATGATTATAGAGCAGCTTCGTCGACTCGAATGTTTCAACGTGTAAAGTCAAGATACGTAACGACCGTGATAATTATCTTCCTTGCTTACCTCCATCATTTACAAAGAGTTACTAGATGTGCTCGACTCTAATATAGCAACTTTTGCTGTTCACCTCAGAAGATGCTTGGACAAATAGTTTTGTTAATTAGTTGAAGAATAGTTTAGTAGTTTGCAATAGAAAAGAGGACTGAATAGATATAACGTCTCGTTATGCGTTTTGCTAAGGTGATTCGGTGGAACAGAAGCTAAAATGTATGTTTTAAAACGGAATGATTTTCGTAGCGTCGAATATGATCCTCTTTGCAAGAGCTGCCATCTATCAGGACGGTATCACCCTGCGGAGTTGAATGATGGAGTGAATGCCGTATGCTCTGACGATATTTTATTTATTTTGCTTTGTTATGTAGTCACACCGTCGATGCTTGTCTCTGCTTAACCATGCTTTCACCAGTTCTCGGTATCAATCTCCACCTTTTAGGTCCTGGCCAAGAGTTAATCCTTTTTTTGGAAATGTTGCTAAGTTGTCACTTACACCTTTGTCATTCCAAGGTACTACATCTCTGCGTAGCCTATCAACCTTATTGGATGGATCTAAAGACCGCAACGAAATTAAAAGTTAGGTTTGAAAATTCTGTTACAGAAAACTACTTAAAGAAGCTATTTAGGGCAGTTTGTCAAGATATAAAGCCTATTAAAAATGCTATGAAAGAGAAAATTTAACTGAACACCAACGAAGGCATTTTCAGTGATACTCAAATAATCTCGGAGATTTTCAACAGATATTTCCCTGAAATGCCAACGAAAATTCAGGGGCAGATTCCTGCAAATTTTTCGCCCTTCAATGTTTATTTTTTATTCAGCTTCCCCATTCGACTGGCATCTCAGCTAGACATTTTGAATATAATAAAATAATTGAATAAATATTGAGCAATATCAGATGGTAGTTTCAGTAATAATGTGATTAAGTGCTGTTCATCATCTTAGACATAGATCCTTTAACTTACTTGAGGATGGCCAGTTTTCTAAGTTCTTTCAAATAGGAAAAATAATTCCGGAACATAAATCAAGGAGTAAGAGCGGTATAAACAACTATAGAGCCATTATACTGACAAGTCCTTCCAAAAGCTCTTGACAGTCTTGATGAAGCTAAGACGTGCTTGCGAATTTTAATAGAGTTTCGCAAAGTCTTTGCACTAGTTAATCATTCTTATGGAATCAGAGACATTGCTCTTGCATGGTTTGAGGGCTATTTTAACCGGGAGATCGCACTACGTGAAAGTAAAAAATCGGTCATCAAGTGTGCACTACTCCAGCATGGGTGTGCTTCAAGAATCTATCCTTGGGCCACTTCTATGTCTGATTTTCCAAAGCAGTAACTGTATTTATTATATGTGCAGATAATACAACGCTTTTGATTACAGCCTCAAATACCCTTGAGCTGGCACATACTGCGTATGAAGAACTTAAAAATGTACAAGTCAGTGGAAGGCAAACGGATTAATATTGAATGAAAAAAACCTCATGTAACGCAATTCTCGCATTCACAAAAGACCAATGATAGTAACATCTTGGTTAGATCTCTATATGGATCAATTAAACAGGAAGAGTCTGCTAAGCTTTTAAGTATTGATCTGACAAATGCAGGTGGGATAATCACATTGACAACGTATGCAAAACGTTGGCTCCTGTGTCATATTCTATCAACTAACTGAGTTATGTTGCAGGCAGCGCAGTCGTGACTATTATGCACATTTTCACTCCACTATGTCTTACTGTTACTTCAGCATTAGGATTATCACTATGGTATGCGAATACAGTTATGCGTTGCTGTTGTATGCAAGAGAAAAGAGCTGATTGGTCCACACTAGAAACTCGTCTCTACTGGACGCTCTATCTCAGAAGCTCTCCAAAACAGAATATATTCCAAATCATATAGCTATTAGGATGTATAATAAGGCAGCATCTGATGGAATTCACAAGAAAAATACTAAAGAACTTTTATTAAGTCTACTTATACTGTGAATGATTACTTGGATGCCAATACTTCTCCATGGTGATTTATCTTACTCCTGTAATTTATTATTGGCTATATAGGTATGTCTGTCAATGCTTTATTATGTACGTTAAGTAGTGCTTCAGTATATAATTATTTTACTCCTGTCATTCTTTATATATTCATATGCAAATTTAATTTAAATTGAACGACATGTTCTATATCTCTTAATCGAGATCTCAAGAATTAACAATAAATCTCTTTACTCGTGTCGAAATAAATATTTTGAATTGGAATTTGAAATCCCGTAGAGTTGTCATCTGAGAATATTGAAACCGGTCAGCAGGCCTGTCAACAATGGCGGATGGTTCCTGTTAAGGATAAACATACAGAAACGTTTGTCTCTAACCATAGGTACTATAATAAAATTTTTCCTTCTCGGAGGTATATTTCTTCACATAAAGTGCACTTTTTGAGCTATGCAAATTCGAAAAATTGGTATCATGCTTCGCTAAAGTTTCATGGATCTTTTTCCCTAACATGGACTGGACTAATGTCTGCCTATCTGGGGTTACGTTTTGTGAAATGCAGAGCTTCATTATTATAACGTTTCATGGAACATAAAGCTGTTACGCTAGGGTGCCCTTCCGGATTATGCCACAATATCTCGCTCACAGGGTGATGGTTGTAAAACAAGAAGGGTGAAATTTATTAATTCACTTATCTATTTGAATCATATGGCTATTATCTGAACAATGTAACGTCTGGAAGTAATTTTAAATCATAGGATCGACCGCCACATTTCTGGTTAACAAACGAAACCATAAATGTTGAAATTAGTCTTTTTACTCCCTGGCACAAAAAAGAGAGATGTTATAAGTTTAACATCTGTATCTGTATAGGTGTATCTGTCTGTAGCATCGTAGCTCCCCAAAAGGTGAACGGAATGAAAATCGGTCCATCCGTTGAAAAGCTATGGGGAGGGGTGAACGTGGGGGCAAGCAATCCAAAGTAAGCGAATATGCCTGAATGAGCAATTAGATGAAAGGGTCTGATTTGAAGAATACTCAATGCTACTCTAAGCAAGAAAATTAAGGGAGCAAGAAAAATATCCAAATTTTCCAGTGATTTTTGACAAGTTGTATTTCGGTGAATAATGGTCGTATTAAGGCCCGTATCGTCAGTCGTCCCTACAATTGTAGGGCGCGTTTATGGCCTCCTTGATTGTCATACTGCTTTCTCTCCTTCAAAAATTTCTAGATTACACTTGTCCCGTGTCAGCGTCAGCGCTCTCCTATTGTGAAGATATGTTTTCTTTTTAAATTGTAAGAAATATCAGGCTGATAAAACATGAAATAACTCAAAAGCAAGCACAATTTGATGCAAATAGATGTTTGTGACATAACCTCAAAATAGAGTTCTGACACGGAGAAGTAGAATACTATGACAATCAAGGAGGTCATAAAGGCGCCCTACAATTGTAGGGACGACTGACGATACGGGCCTAAGACACAAAGATGAGTATTTCAAAGCTTTAAGTTTCTGGTTTTTAGACTTTGTAGTCGAAACATTTTAGCAGTAACTGTTCTTATATAATTCTAACAGAGGAACATTTTTTGCTAAATTATTTCCTCCTTTTTAGCCCATGGGATTAAAACATTTTTCTATTAGACCATCACCCTCGTTTATTTAGCTTAAATATCCTGTGTTTAAGATCTCAGTACGATAATTTGGCGCGGAGATATTTGACTTTGAATGAAAAAGGATCCTTTTGTTATCGGCCACTGATATCTCGGTAACCAGTGATAGAAAATGTAAGGGTATTTCAAAAAACTGGAATACATGTCCCATCAGATAATTTTTATTGTTTCTTTAGTAGTGAGTTTAGTGAAAAAAGTTACTTTTCGCCTTGTCTTGGAAAAGCGACCGCATTTTTGGAACTGCTAATGAGAAGTTTCTAGGTTTTCTGCAGCTCAGCGTAACCCTAGTAACCATACACGACAGCAGATCGATGCATTGTACGTTTATCCGGACCGATTGTACAAAATTTGGCAGAAATCAATTGTACAAAATTTATGTATCACAACATCCTGTAATCTGGTTATAAACGGAAAAATCATTTTTCTCCTTTTGCTGACACTATTGGATGTCTGTAACTGAATTTTGAAAATAGCAATTGTAAAAAATGCATATATATATATATATATCTAACTTGAGACGTGGTCATTGTCGTCTAGACCAGTTAGGTGAAAAATTAAAGCTTCCGCCTTTTGTTGCGTACTTCGACAAAATTTAAGCAAAGAGGACTCTTTATACTTTTTTAATTCTCTCTAGCTTTCAATGGACTTTGCCATCATCATCAGGAGAGTAGTATGTGAGGATGATTTAGAAAAATAATTCTTAATCTGTCTTTAACTTGTCTTGTCATATTTTATACAAATTTTAACCATTGTACCATGTATCCAGCTCTCACCATGTTACTGGACGTTTCCCTCATCCTATACGAAAACAACAATTAGCAACATCCTCACATACTACTCTCCTGATGATGATGGCAAAGTCCATTGAAAGCTAGAGAGAATTAAAAAAAGTATTAAGAGTCTTCTTTGCTTAAATTTTGTCGAAGTACCCAACAAAAGGCGGAAGCTTTAATTTTTCACCTATATATATATACGAAAACAACAATTAGCAACATCCTCACATACTACTCTCCTGATGATGATGGCAAAGTCCATTGAAAGCTAGAGAGAATTAAAAAAAGTATTAAGAGTCTTCTTTGCTTAAATTTTGTCGAAGTACCCAACAAAAGGCGGAAGCTTTAATTTTTCACCTATATATATATATATATATATATATACTATGTTACCGGAAAAACTTAATTTTAGGATAAATTAGTTTTTCCCAGTCCAAATCAGTTTATCCTAAGAGCGATAGGTTGAACTAGTTTATACTGAAACAAATTAATTATGATTGAGAAAAACTGATTTGTTCTATTCTAAACCGCTTCGGACCGAGATTTAACTAGTCTGAACTTATTAAAAGGTAGCTGAGTGGCTTTGGTTCGTTTAGTATGGTATCTTGAAAAATTTTATTGCAGGTAATCGTTCATTTTATTGCGGTTTTATTTCATTTAAGTTAAATACTTTCATTTCAGAAATGAATCAGATATCTGCGCTCAAAAGCTTTTATTGGAAGAAGTGAATAAAAACACTGAACATTCGTTAAAAACCGCAGCGATCAAACATTCAGATCGAACAGGCCCAGGTTTCTTTAAGTGTAGTTGCACCAAGAAATGAACGTCAAATCGATGCTTTTGCAAGAAAAATAAAGTTCTGTGCAACTCGAAATGCCACAATAGTTTGACATTGGAATGAATAATAAAAGTTATCAAACATATTTGTAATAGTATTTTCTTCAATTAGTAGTAAATTTTGTGAAGAGACTGTATCATACTTAATTTATTTCAGGACAAGTCAGTTTAGACTAGGATAACCTAGTTCATCCTATCGCTATTCTGATACACTGCTTTGGCTTAGGAAAAACAAAATAATCCTAAAATCGTGTTTGTCCGGTTACATATATATATATATATATATAGGGTGTTTCAGTTTATTGTTGAATAAGATTCGATAGAGCTTTTAAAATTAATGCATAAAGTCTATATAAACATGGGTCAAAAAATGCGTGGCTTCCGAAATACAGGGTGTTTAAATTTACTTTCTAAATTAGTTTTTTTTTAAATATTTCGAACAATATTTGATGTATAACAGTGAAAATTGGTATACAAGGGTTTTTTGGTACGACAGAACGAAGTGTATTAAAATGACCGAACATTTTTTCTTAGTGCAATTTTTTGCTTTTTGAATAAAAAAACTGATTCTTCGCACTTTTCAACATAAAAAAGCTCTCCTGTGAGTTTTCGTTATAGTTAGCCGTTTTTGAGATATTTCGATTTCTAAGGTTCGATGCATTTTTAATTATTTATGGGAAAATAATATCTTTTTTTACATTTTCGATTTGGGCATTACAAGTAATTAAGATGATCGTTTAGATTGTTTTTTTAAACACAGCAATAATTCCTAACTCCAAATAAACACAAAAAACAGAATACTAATTTGTTTAATTTTCCAATATTATTTTTAACAAATTAAATTAATTATTTACAACTAAAATGCTGTTGGATAGTTAGGACAAACAAACAAAATCTAAAGTAGTTGCTCGAAATGTAAACCCAATGGTTCAATACACAATTCACATCTACGAATGATCGAACGTGGTATAGCATTATTCAAATAAGGCCTTATTTCATCACATGCATTCCTGATTCTGTCTATTAGCATATCTCTTGTGGTTATGGGAGTCTGGTACACTTTTTCTTTTAGAAATCCCCACACAAAGAAATCTAATGGATTTAGGTCAGGGGATCGTGGAGGCCAGGCGACTGGTCCTCCACGGCCGATCCATCTTTCTGGATAATTTTCGCTCAGCCAGTTTCTAACTATTCTCGAATAATGAGCTGAACAACCATCAAGCTGGAACCAGGCCAATCTTCTTAAATCTAACATAACATCATCCCACATATTTGCATGTTCAGCCTTTAAAAATTCCAAGAAGGTCGCAGCATTTAACCATGCAAGCAAAAGGTAGGGTTCAAATAGTCGATTACGGTAGATACCAATCCACACGTTCACACTAAATTCATGCTGAAAATTTCTTTCCCGAACTGCATGCGGATTTTCATGCGACCAAATATGTTGATTATGAAAATTTACCACTCCACGTCTAGTGAAGCATGACTCATCGGTCCATAAAACGTTACTTAAAAACTCCCTATTATTATCAGTTCTATCAAGAATCCCCTGACAAAATGTGATTCTTCGTTCTCCGTCCCCTGGCTGTAGTCCTTGCACAGGTTGCAAATGGTAAGGACGTCTATGGTCATTTCTAAGAACACGGTGAACATGGCTTGCTGAAATTCTCAAGGCACCAGAAACTCTCCTAACACTTGTGTTCGGATCTCTATCAAACTCACCCAGAAACATACGGGTAAATCTGCGCTGGCGAACATTTATGTTTTGATCCCATTGGAGATTTCCAAAACCATTTTCAATTATTTGGCGATGCACTCTTACAAATACTGAGCGTACTGTTTGGAAATCTTCGTGCGTATTCTCTGGCTGCTTCTGCTGCGTTTCCATGTACAAAGCCATACACAAAATGAATATCCGCTAACTTTTGATTGGAGAATAAAAATGGCATTTTTATAAAACTTACAAAAAAAACAAGTAAAAGAAACTAAATTTCGTGCATTTACAATTGCAAAAAAACGTTTTAGGTTTCAACATACAACAAAACTAATTGACGTTTAACCTTATTCTGCTTTCAATTTCAAAAATATTTGCAGGCACAGCCTACTTCTAAAAATTATCGAGATACTGACTTTTTAACGTTATTTTATCATAAATAATTAAAAATGCATCGAACCTTAAAAATCGAAATATGTCAAAAACGGCTAACTATAACGAACATTCACAAGAGAGCTTTTTTATGTTGAAAAGTGCGAAGAATCAGTTTTTTTATTCAAAAAGCAAAAAATTGCACTAAGAAAATTTTAATAAACTACAGGTACAGTAGAGAGCGCCCTCTAGCGGCTACAGTAAAACTATGGTTCGTTTTGTCGTACCAAAAAACCGTTGTATACCAATTTTGACTATTATACATCAAATATTGTTCGAAATATTTAAAAAAACTATTTTAGAAAGTAAATTTAAACACCCCGTATTTCGGAAGCCACGCATTTTTCGACCCATGTTTATATAGACTTTGTGCATTAATTTTAAAAGTTCTATCGAATCTTAAAGTTATGCAACAATAAACTGAAACACCCTGTATATATAAACAAAAAATAGGAAAATAATGAGCAAAATCCGCAAAAAGAAGGAAAGTGGATTCGAGCAGAAAATAGAATAGGTAACCCGAGCGATACGTATTTCTACTGGTTGGCTTCATCAGGCCCGAAATGAATGCACATATTATGTAACTACAAAAGTAGATACACATCCGGATACATCCGGATACGGGTGTAACCCGAGGAAACGAAGATGGAGAGGGAAAAAATCACACACGAAGTCCACAACAGGAGCCAACCTACACATTGTAGTACTACCCTCTACAGATCTATAAAAGAATTCATCAATCCTGGCGGTCCTAATAAGGATAATGGAAAACTGTTATCAAATTATTGCATTGCGATCGGTCCTTGATACGTGTGTGAAGTTTCGAATTAATCAAACTTATGGAAATTGGTGAAAATTAAGATTCCTTACATACATACAAACAGGCCAAGCTAACAAAAGCGTGTTAAAACAGGTTGAAATTCAAGTAAATAGGAGAACATGTCTCATCTATCAGTCTTCTTTAGACTCCATATAATTACTTTAGCACTGAACTATGTCACATTTCTATTTACTGGTCCTTTGGCAGTTCTAGTGAGCCTTAACTGTAACGTATTCAACCTTAAATTCAAATTTTACGTGACCCATCCATATATCTTGCCTATTATTACATACATCTTCATTTGCTTCATACATACCTCCAGTTTTCCCATAATTTCATAAATATTCCTGGATAAAGTGGTATTCCAGTAAGAGGATCCCAGGATTAACTCTTTATAATATGTATGTAAAACCGGATATAAGCACTTTATAAGTTGCCCATTTAAGCTGGGCAATAAAAAGCTGAAGCTGGTATACGGAAAAGAAAATCACACGTATTAAAATGTATTGCCCAAAGGCAAGTTCGTTTGGTGTATCTCAATTTTTCGGCGTAAGTAGATTTATACGCTTCCAATTAGACATATTTCATACATAGTAGATTTTCTCATACGTTTGAAACTTAGAAAACTATTTACAATAGACGTAAAATGATGGAAAATCGGATTGATCGAACACATCCTAACATCTGAAAGTAAAAAATAAGCTCATTCGCAAAATTATTGTACATTCAGTTATTATCGTACAAGTAGTATCGTATATCGTAATGCTGGTGCCTGAAGATAGTGTTTTCATATCAACCTTAGTGTAAATCGCAGCGTTGGCGACTATGGACTAATTGTATGGGCCTGCCTAACTGAGCTGATCCGTTTAATACTTTTGTTATAGCCCAACTAGCAAAGTAGTGGTATAAGCTTTTGGTAAAAGAACCGTTCAGCCATAAAAGCTATTGTTGTTGCCTGAACACAAAAATGCTGGCTTAATGTTGTGTGGAATGCAGATTTGCTTTCTGCAACATATGTGCTCTAAAGTGTTTAAAATATTCTTATAGCATAGTTATACAACACCTTATAGAGCAAATTTTTAACTGTTGCATAAACGTTTATACAACTATTTTATACGGCATATTTGCACGTTAGTCGAAATGGTTGTGTTTATACGTTTATAAAACAAACCCGAGCCTTGTTGTTTTGCTGTGCAATTTTCTACTTTAGCCAACAAATTGCTCCCAACGGAAGCACTTATACAACTGTTGTTTAGTAACTGTTGAAGGCTGTATATATGCTAAATATGTGGGTAAACAACTTCACTATAACCTAACTTACTGCTGTCATATTTTTGTAAAATCCTAAAATGCCATAATCAATGTTTTAAGACAAACAACGCATGCATATTGCTTCAAAAGGTTTTATCAACTGTTCAAACAGAAGATATAGATCTGGTACAAATTCTGGGTAAGTCATTCGACTATGTCGGTATTTCATTTCAGACATTTGTCAAATTGTTGTATAACACCTGCAGGCAAGACCAAAATATTCTAATAACCTAAAGACAACATGGATGATGCCATGATTGTTCACAACCACCCGCCATATTGGGCAAACATTTACTACTCTATTTAATATTAAATAATTATGTTTCAGTTCGAAATTACAGATATAAAGTGATAAACATTAGTGTAATTGTGACTAAATATAGGATTTGTGGAAGATTTAACGCGGATAAGTTCAGTTTTCCATCTTAAAAATCTAGACATACTTTTGATCATTGTCAAAATATGAATCAAATATGTAGCCTATAGAAATTGCGTAACTTATTTGCACGATAATCGCAATAAAATTAGCCCTATATCACAGTGTAGAAGTTTATCATATACCTGTGTATGAAATTCACAATGGCCGATATGTAAGTAAACAAGATGACAGCAATGTGCTAGTTATATATTCTTCACTTCGTCTATACAATACATAAGAAATCGTTTGGTTGCAATAAAGTAGAATCACGTAACAGAATAGTTGTATAGTTGACAATGAATCTTGCACTGACGCAAATGTCCTATAGCGGCTGCCAGAGGCTTACACTTTTGTTTTATAACTGTTACCTGCCAGCCCTTATTTAACCTCTTAAATGACTGAAGTGTCCTATTAGGTGTGCCCATTCCGCTTGTATAGCTGTTCTGAGAGGGTTTTGACAATGTTCTTACAGTATACAATGCTGTTTAAGGAATACCGTATAATCATTCTTGCAACTCTAATAGGAGTGATAATTGTTAATTGGAAGATGTTCGTAGTTAAGTTTTTTCTGAGACATGCTAACATGTGCTGAACATACTCCTTCATGAACTGATGATAGTGTCGGATCATCAAGGACGTCAAGTGACAAGAGCTGGACTTGTCAATCACGTCGCGACGGCTTGGAGGAAATAGGATATCTAAATTCAGAGCTAGGACATACTTCGCCATCTAGCTTACTCGCTTTGAAACAGAGGTAAGCACTGGCCCGGAGTAGGGGTTACATGCCTGGGGTGCTGCTAGTTTGACTATATTGTCCAAACATGACGCTGTACGAGGAAGGTTCAATTTATTGAAGTCAATCCTTAAATTTGGGTCCCTTCTACCGATATGCCAACGAATCTAACTCCTCTGAGCTCTATCTATGATGCGCTTCAGGCCTGACAGATGAACCTGTCAGGCTTATGCTCACTCCGATTTTGTAAATCGAGAACTTGCTGACCAAACCTCTCATTTGTTCCTAGGTTGTCGAGGTTGTGCATCAATCTTCATAATAATAATAATAATAATAATAATAAACGTCTTTATTAAATAATATATACAATACATGTGCATATATATATATATATATATATAAAGTGTAACTATAATGGCGAAGTTTAGCATTATGCTACTGTAACACTTAACCACCAAAGTTAAATATTAGGTTGTTAAGAGTGAACACAAACAAAACGCAATATATACATATATATATAGAGGAGAGGGTATAAATATGGGCTACCATTTTATTAAATTGGCATATTTGACACATATTTGGTCTATATGGCTCAGCATTTTTTTGTCGGACAAGCTGAACCTAATCTAGCATTATGCTGGTAGTTTTCATTTTTTTTACACAAACCTGTTTGGAATTTTTATATGTTTAAATAAAATTAAGATCATACCAGATATTGAGATAGTGATACAAATATGGGCTACTAGAAAAAATACCTACAAAAAGTAACTTAGAGCTTTATTTAAGAGCAGCAAAAAAAACAGAAGCACTTGACAAGAACACATCAGTATTAACCAGTGCGACAAAAGTCACAAACATAATCATCCTTATCAGCACCTGCACAATCGACATGACACCACATATTGCACATTAAACGTTGAACCCACAGTTCTCCTTTGCGGTCTTCGGAAAATCTGCTTTCACAAAAGATGCATTCCGCATCTAAATCATCTGGTTCCTTTTGTCCAGGCATATCATCCATATCTAAGTCATCATCTGCTAACACCAGCTCTGTTTCGTCGTCATCACTTTCAGATTCTCCTAAAGATCGCTGCTTTTTATTCTCCTTTGAAGTTATGGACGATGTATTTTTGGTTGATTGAGAAAACACCTTTTTCTTAACAGACTTAATCTCTTGTTTAGTTTTATTGGCAGTGCTCAACAATAATTCGTCTTTGTAAGGGGACGAAGTAATTACCGCTGCTTGTGATGCTTTTCTACCCCTATCAGTTGTTTTCTTTTTTAAGGTCGGAACTGGTGAAATATCAAAGGGGGTCACAATTTTTTTTTTGGATTCCAGATGGTCCAGGTTGAGCGCAGTCGCGATTGAGTAGCTCTACATCTGATTGAAATTTACCACATGGGCCAGGTGGAACGTTGTCTAGACTGGGAGGCTCTAGATCTGATTGAGATGTGCCTGGTGAACTCTCAGCGAAGTCATTTTCAGCGGTACAGTGTTCTTTTCCTTTTTCTATTTCGGCTGCAAGAAAGTCCACTTCTGAAAAAATATTCTTGTTAAGCGGAAAAATTCCAGTAACGCGGAACCCGTTTACGGCGATTTCTCCAGTCTGACTTTTGAGATAAGCCTTTCCCAAAAGTTCGCCAATATCATATTGGGTTAAGGGACGATGATTATGACGAATCCATTGTCTAATCTCCTCACTGTAGTAAGATTTTAATGTACCCATGAAAGTTTTGTCAAGAGGTTGCAATTTATTTGTTCAATGAGGGGGTAATGAGATTATCCAAACATGATTTTCTCTCGCCATAATAACAACCTCTAAATTACGGGTATGACTATAGTGTCCATCTAAAATTAGAAGAACAGGCGAAGATGCAGTCGGTTTTACCGTATTAATGAAATGTTTGAACCACTGGGCGAATAACGCAGCCTGAACCCATCCACTTGGGTGAACAGCTGATATTGATCCTGGAGGAGTGCCTTTCATTAGTTGCACATTCATATTTTTTTTAGGAAATATGAGCATTGGTGGAACGAAGTCTCCCCCTGCATTCATGCAGGTTATCAAAGTGACTAATGATGTTAAAGATGCAATTTGTTTTTTGCCCTTACGACCAACCACTTCAGCCACTTTTTTTTGCACAACAGTTAGACCAGTCTCATCTACATTAGAGACGCGATTAGCTGGGAAGCTGTGGTTTTCATATGTTTTTTCCAAAAGTGTAAAGAAGTTGTCCACAGTCTCTTTGTTGAACCCTCTGGCGCGAGCAAATGATGTCCCAGTAGGTTTTCTAACTGACAAAATTTTGTGCCTTTGCAGAAATAGATCTAACCAGCCCCTTCCTTCTGTTTGTGTGTTCCCAAAAGGATGCCTTATGCCGTTTTTTTCCGCCAAGTAAAATGCCATACGTTTAACGTCTTTGCGGGTTAAACCATAAAACTTGGCTTCCATTACAAGGATATAGCGAACTAATGCTGCTTCCAATTCTGGAGTCAAAACTTTACCTCGCCCTAATTTGATCTAAACAGCCTCCTCTACGCTAAGATGGTCCATTTTGGCCAATCGCTGAACTGTAGTCCTTGAAACGCCAAAAGTTTTAGCTGCCTTTAGAGTTCCCATCGTTTTTTCTCTTACCGCTCGAACAGCCCTTTTCATATGGTCTACATCCCATGTCTTCCGTTGCTACAAATATGGCCTAGCCCCTATTACAAACTTAATACCAGCCCATATTGCACATATCCTCCAAAAAGTTTAAAACTCCACAAATATTTTATATCTTGTATCTGAATATAATTAAAGACAACATCTAAAAATATGAACCTTATTTTCAATTGTGATCTATAAAAATCAAGTTAAATACTAAAACCTACTTAGTTACAGAGACAAATAACCACCACTGCAAAATTCATAAACACTGTAAAAGACCAAATCACACGAAACTGAATTGTGTATGTGAAAAGAAGAATTCTGTAATCAACAGGCGGTCACGTGCACTAAAGCGCATATAATTGTTACATTACTCGATAGATGACTCTAGGTGCATCGGAAATATCAACGTAGCCCATATTCCCTACCTAGCCCATATTTATACCCCCTCCTCTATATATATCAAATCACTTATAACCCATATGAGAACTGAAAAATGAGAAATTTTGTGTGCACATACTGCTACTCTAAAAAGATCTATGAAATATTGAGGGAAAAGTTAATCGTTCAAATAACTCATGGTCTTAAATTTACTGTCATTATATATTTATAACTTCGTTGGAACATGGATAAATAAAAAAAAGATGATTCTTGTAAGAGAAATAATAGACCCAATAGATGAAATGGCATTTCAAATAGTGAAAGCATCTGGGTAATCTGAATATCGCCGAGGTATTCCTCTTAGTCCTAAAAAGTGTTGAGGAAAAAATGTTAAATTTACACCTAGAAATATAGTAATAAATTGGGTTTTTAAAAATGCTTCGGAATTCTGATAACGTGCCTGTCTCTAATAGCTGTATCGTGAATGGTGTTATTAAAAATTATTTTTTCACATAGGTATTCTGGCTTAAAATTAATTAAAATTTTATGGATAAATGTGGAAAAATGTAACTTGACCAACTGGTCAAACCTTAGCCATCTCAGCTCTGCATATTTGAGAGAGACATGGTCGAACTTCCGCATGCCGAATATAAAGCGAAAACCGCTGTTTTGAATCAATTGGATTCTGTGTTTAGTGATCTGATCCAAACAGCCAAAATATAGAATACTGCAGTAGTTCAAGACAGACACAATGAAGGTTTCGCAAAGTTTAGTAAATATCTGTTTGAATAAAGACTGCGTAAACGTGCATAGGTTTTTTGTGTCAGATTTTTTACATGCTCGGTAAATCTTAGTTTTGTATCAATTTCTACACCCAATATTTTTGCGCTATTGGTGAGCTCGAGCAGCTTATTGTCTAAGTTCAAATTTAAGAGCGAAACAACGTCGTTTCTTCTGCTCTCTGAACAAAGCAATAAAATCTTAGATTTTTCCGGGTTTATGCTGAGGTTGTGATCTGCTGAATATTTGCATAGACTATCAATATCTGCTTGTAATACTTGGACAGTGCTCAAAAGAGGCCCCAAAATGGAACCCTGTGGCACTCCTGAAGGTATGCGAATGACATCAGATGTAATACCTTTCACTGTAACACATTGAGCCCTGTTTTTAAGAAGAAGAAAAATTTGATTACAACCTCATCACAACCAACAGAACGTAGCTTAGCACATAAAAGTTTATAATCTATCTTATCGATAATAATGGTGGTAGTTCGGCATTTAGCCAATACTTGTGGATATAAGGGTAGGTTTCTATGACAGCAAATTTGCTTAGCAACTTGCGACGAGTCATCAGCGAGTATGGCGCTCAACATGCTCTGCGACATGAGCCGCAACTTGCGGTATGGATATGCCAATTTGCAACTATTTCTGCCACTTTTATGGGCAAGATGTTGCAGATATCAACGTAAATGCAACACGTCTCAGATACTCTGACAGCCTGTAACATGCGCCGTATAGGAGCGTTTCTGTTTAAATTCGTTGCAGGCAAGTGTTGTGCAACATGCGCCTAGCGTAATTGCCTGCCACTTGTTATCTCAAACGTAGCGAGACCCATCGCGACGACTTGTATCTTATACAATCCCCGTTTTTAACTAAAACAATATAATATTATCTTATGTTCCTGTTTGAGCCAAATTTCCTTATTAAATGCTTCGATGCAATATTAGTGTGTAATATCTGTATTTCCGGCGTTATATCCTTTTCTATCTGATTTGAATGGCTAAAAACGTTCAACAGAAATCTTTTGGCGAATTGGAGTACCAATTAAGAACTAAACTGATAAAGTAACAGAATTACAACTGGCAGAGATACACTTTGGCTTCCGGCCAGGCTCATTCTGCGGCTTCCCTTCGCGATGCTTTGGGCCAATCTTCTTTCTACGAGTATATCATCCACTACGACTCTCTCCGTTAAATGGTTCGGGCTGGACGTTATGCCGCTGACAATGTATCAAAACGAATGTTCAATAACGGAAAAACGCGGATGAATCCGGATTACCCGGAAAATCGTAATTGCGCCAAAGATAGGTGGCGATATTTCTCCTTTCAGGTTATGGTTAGTGTAGATTTTCACTTTGATGAGATTGTGCATATCGAAATTACACATATGTTATCGGAGAATGTATCTACAGATAGAAACATTAACGTAGATCGTAGAATATCTAGGTTACTTAAAAAAACGTAGAGTCACGTGAGGTGATATGACAAAATTCTGTCAAGTACCTAAGTATCACTTTTCACAAAGGGATAACCTCGCAGAAGCAATACCCGCTTGGTGTCTCCTAGCCAAAGACGCGCAAGAGATGCTTGCAGGCTCAGCACTAATAGTCCTTGGTATGTTTCCGATAAGATCTTCCACAGATGCCTTGGCATCCCTTATCTATGTGGCTCTACTAAATAACAATGACGAGACACCCATTCAGTAGAGCCGCCTTTTGTCCATTGTTATTTTTTTCAGACTTTCTCTGCTATCTGGACAAAAAAATATACTTACTTGCCTACAAGACTAATCAAGTGCAAAGATCCTATAGTTCACTTTAATAAACAATGAAGAATATAACTTACAGCTATTTTTCCAAGAGTAGACATTCCTAAAGACTCCCTACCATAATCCTAAGATTCAGCACGATATGTCGTCTATTCGATAATGCTGCCCTTCTATGGGCTTCCAGAGAAGCTTTGCAGATGGATAACTAACTCTCTGGCCGCAAGATATCTGACGTAATTGACGGGTTGTCTCTTTATCTCACAGTGTCAACGCAGGAGTTCTGCAGGGATCGGTCTTGCATCCAACCTTTTTCGTCTACATATCAACGACCTCATCTCCTGTACGATCACCCAGATTTACAGCTTTGATGATAACAGCACATGCAGGCATTCAGACGGCCAAGCCTCTCTTTGCTGGAGAGAAGAAGACTAGCAGTAACTTCCTCTCTGGCGAGATCTGGAAGTTTTCACTGCTTGCTTGTGCAACAGTCTGATACAGATTAAGGCTTCCAGAATACTGAATTGCCGAGTTCTACCAAAGAGCCGTTCAATTTCGGTCCAGCATAGCGATGACTTGATTTAAGTTATAAGCGACAGCTGAATGAAAAAAGCTAAGTTATTAGCTTAGGGCTGACAAGTACTTTCCCCCACATAACTTCTCACTCTGTGTTAGACCCAGACAAGACCATACCTCGAGTACTACTCACATAGGTGTGCCGCCCCGTTTCAGAGGAGGGCGGTGCGATCGATGTCACCTCTGACGGACAGTCTTACGACCCTATTGAAATGTCGAGCGGCCGTTGACCTGGCTCCCTCCTATCGTTATGTCAACGGGTTTTGATTCTCAGAGTTCCCCTCCATAATGACGTTGAGCGACGTGCCTGCCAGGCAGCTACGGCAGATTTCGACCTCCCATCCGAACCGTTTAGACCTTCGAACATCCACAACTGGACGATACGACTCCTCCAATGTACCTGAAAAAGCCTTTCCTACTTCTACTAATCTGAGGCAGTTCAAAAATTGGATTAACAAGGTGTCTTCAAGCTCCCTATAGTAGTAGCAGTCTCCCGGTATTTAATTCCCTGACGGTATAAAAAATGCACAGCCGTTAATTTGCTACTGCCATCACCATAATAACAATCTCTTTATCAGTATAATGCATTGGAAGTACCGCATGTTAAAGCCTACATATTTAATACTTATGAGAATATTCAATTATTATCTAGCTAACCAATACCACGGTGTGATACAATTATAGCAAATATATTACTTAATGGAATATGCGATACAGATCAATATGGAACATAAACACACATTGTACTAACATACATATGTAGGTAAACATGGAATAACATTACTCACTAACGTGTAAATTAGACGGACTTTTACATTTCAGGATAGATCAGCATCAATAACTGAGTCTGGGATTAATGTATAATGCTTCCTAGATGCTTCCTAGATATCCTACATATAGAATGATCTCGAACATGTAGACATATTATAGGAGAACTTGATCAGATGGGGATCGCTGTTTACATCCGGATACCCTTATATACAGGGTGACTTGTAATGTCACGTATTCCTGTTAAGGGGTGATAGATTAGCTCAAAAGCAACCGATTTTGTCCTATAATATCTTATCCAGAAGTTAACCGTTTTTGAGTTATTTGAATTTTAAGTTTTTTATTTTTTATTCCGATTTCAGACGGTTAAATTTGAAATACAAAAATACTACATGTTTGATTTTGAGTTTTTTGTTATCGTCGCATAGCGGACATTAGAATAGTTCATAATAAGTAATAAAATGTTGAAAACTTACAAAAGTTTTAAAATTACGCTTTTGAAATGTATGATTTTCTTATTTTTTTACTAACTTATTC